TTTCAATTGTCAAACACACTTCTGTTCAGGTATTTGTTATAAGTTGCTTAACATTTTCTATTATCCAGCCTATAGGTCATTTTCAGCTTTTTGCTATTATATATGGTGCTGTTACAAGACTTATAATAGCAGAAAATGGAGACAGCCCAAGCTTTTCACGTTGGGAGGTGCTTTGGTAAATGATGGTGTATGATTATGGTGGGATAGTGTTTGTTGTTTCCAAGGTTGGTTACGGCGACATAGAGCTGCACGGCACAGAATGTCAAAGGGAAGCTGCAGGCCGATCTCCCCTGTCTAAAGGACAGACATGTAGAAGAACCCCTGTGGGGAGCGAGCCAGGATGTGGACGCTGTGTTGGAATCAGAGGCGGTGTTACTCATTTCAGATACTCCTAGTGAACACGGGTAATGCACCCCTCCCCCTGGCAAGCTTGCCAAAGGATGCAGGAAACATGTTGAGACATAAAGTGTGTTCCCATCATCGACCATTCCCTGAGGATGGGGCTCCTGGTGTCGTGGTGGTGAGGCCCGTCCCTGTTGGCTAACTGCGGCCTCTGTGCCAGATCGGATTCTTCTGACATTTCTGTTATTGGATGTGGCGGATAGGATCTGCATTTAGTTTCAATTAAACTTTTCTTCTGAGTAAATTTACTGTTTTATTATGGAAATATGCATTCAGAAAAGCTCTTTTTTATAAGAAAAATAGTGCTTAGTGAGGAACCTCAATTCAGAGGGAGTAGAATAGGAATGGGATATAGTTGGGTATTTTCCCTGCGCTCTGGCCAACCCCCTTTATTCCAATTCAAGTGATTTTAAAGTGAATACTTGTATAACCATGACCCAGGTCAAGAACTAGAACATGCTAGCACCCTAGGAAGCCCCACGTGTCTTTTCCCGTTGACAGCTAGCTGCCGTCCTAACCGGACGGTGGTGACGTCTCTGGGAGACTCGTCTGCCATGCGTGTCTGTCATTTGTTCGTGTTCATCGCCCTGTAGCTGGCAAAGTCTTAAAGAGCTGGGTAGGAATCTTGTGTTTGGCTTGTGATGTGAACCCAGCTGTGGACCCCGTGGAGACCCTTCCATGGGCCCTCTGCTCCTCTGGGGCTCAAGAGCCGCTTGGTCTTTGGCTCTGGACAGTCAGATTCAAATCAGTCTTGGTGCAGATGGCCTTGACTTTCTCCCTTTCGGAGTTCGCCGAGTTTCTTGGATAGGTAGCCTCGCTTCTCATTAGCACTCAGCCAGACAGTTGATGGCTCTTCCTTCTCCTTCACGTCCTGCTTGTTCTGAGCCTCGAGGTCAGCCAGAGGCGATCGTTCAGGTCCTTGTCCGTCCTCTCCTGGGAACTGGCACAGCCTTGGGTGTGCATGTGGCCTTCTACACTGCCAGGCCTGCGGAACTCCTCAGAACCCCCACTCCCCACCTGCTCCCAAGTCCTGATGTTTGCTTGTAAATGTTTACCTGCAGGGCACCCCCAAGGAGTGCCTTAAGGTCACAGAGCCTCTGAGCCCTCCCTCTGTGTGGACTTGCCAGCCAGCCCTCTCCGTGGGCAGCCAGCTGCCTTGCCGCTCTTGGCCTTGCCACGTATATACCAGGCACTCGCGGGGTCTCTTCTCTCTGACAGACCTGCCACAAGGTCATCCATTTTAAAATTTGTCCTAACATTTATCCTAGTCACCACTGTCACTGTGACTCCCCCCGCCACTATACATAATTGCTGTTAATAAAATGCCATCATTAATGGAATGATGGTCCTTAGTGTCCTTCACAGGACTGCTGGAGGGCTAACTGTGACACCTGAGCTGTGTGAACCCCTCCCTCCCCCTCCTTCTGCGGGGTGCCCCACAGACTCACCCTTGAGATCCTGGCCCCCTTGGTGGGTCTGGAGAGTGGGGAGGGAAAGCGCGGCCCCTCCAGATGTTGTTTGAGATGAGTTCTTGGGCCACAGACAGACACACCAGGGAAGCAGTCCATGCCGACTCCATGCCAGGGCCAGTCGGAATGGCCTTCCCGCCTTCCCTGTGTCCCCCCTGACCGAACCCAAGGCTTCAGCCTGTGGCCTCTTCAGGGCCTGCAGCTATGGGAGGTCTGCGTGTCTGTGGCCCTTCCCTCCCCAGGACAAGAGGCTGGGCCACCTCTCTGTGTGTCAGTAGCCAGGCTCCATTGGTAGCACATCCCCACGTTGCAGTGGGGGGCTGGGTGTGCCCGCTGGGCCTGTGTCCTGAGCCATGCTGCTGCGTGTGTGGAGAGGGCCTTGGTGACATGGACTGGGCCACTCCTCTCATCATTGTTCACCAGTCGCCATCTCTGCTGAGTGGACCTGAAGCCCCATTTGCCTCAGTGCGGAGAGCATGGGAGGGGAGTTGATAGCACCAACACGGAGAGTTGGAGAAAGCCACAGACGAGGGGAGAAGAGTGGGGCCTGTCTGGTAGATGGGCTGCTGTCCCAGGACCGTGTGGCCAGCAGCCCTGGGGGGCAGGGGGAGGGGGCAGTGGGGAGTGGGCCGGAAGCAGAGGGTGTGAGCAAGGCCAGTCTGTATAGAGTGGTGCCCCCAGTGAGACTCTTGCCTGTCCTTTCATAAAGAAATTGACTCCTGGCTCCTGGCATGGCTTCAGCATCCCAACTGAAGCCCAATTTTTTCTGGTGCAAGTGTCCATGACATGATGGCCATGTCCATTGCCTTGTCCCCCCTGCCCCGCCTGCAGAGCCCCTGCTGGGAAACACTGTGCAGGACGTGGGACACAGGTGTCTCCACCAGAGCGAGGCGAGACCAGCACAGCAGCTTCCCAGGCCTTCTCTCCCCAGCCTGGCCCAGCACCATGGAACAGAGAAGAAAGACCTGGAAAAGTCATTCAGAAACGAGAGCTTCCCAGCACACCCTAACCTAGAAAACCATGAGAAAACAACAAAGAGGAAAACAAGCAAAGACCCTTAGAAGTTAAAAGTGGTTGCCAGAGTGCTAAAAAAAAATCAAGGGCGATAGCTCTGTGGGGGCAGGACAGCAGGAGCAGGCAAACAAGTGTGTAAGAATAGAGAGAAAATGCATAGATCAGCAAAATGAGGGCCAATCCCAGTGGCTAGCAGGCCCTGCGGAGGAGGAGGAGGAGGGAGAAATAGAGGCTGGAACCCCGATGTGCCGGGGTCCAAGCTTTCAGAGCGTGAACTGTGGCCTCCGGAGGCTAATTCCTTGGCTTCTGGCCAAGAGAGCCCAGGACGTGTGAGCTGGTCGGGTACCCAGCTTTGAGGCGGCCCCAGGAGGCAGAGTGGACAGGCTGGGGGTTGTGGCAGAGGCGGAGTACTCTGGAAGGGACCTAGGAAGACCCCACGGGAGGAGGAAGGTGATAGGGACAGGAAGCACAGTCGAGTGCACTCAGCGGGAGCGCTGATGACAAGCGGAGGGGTGCGGAGGGGCGTTGGGGCCTGCTCGTCACCATGAGGCACACCGCATGATGCTTGAGCCTCAGTGTCCCCCTCTGGACAGGCGGGACCAAATGTCGATTAAAGACCTTGCCGTGTTGGGGGGCAGGGGCCGGACCGGAGGCAGAGAGGCAGGCTGGTGGAGGAGGGAATAGGTGTGTATTTAAGTGAAGGCACCACTAACCTGTGAAACCAAAGCAAAGAGCGAGTCCCCCGGGTGGGGTAGGGGAGTGAGCGGAAGTCCCTGTACTTGGCGCCCTGCGCTCATTACCTGCATCAGGAAGATGCAGCTTGGAAGAGCCACTGGCTCCTGGGCTCTGCGGTGGGGGTCGGGGCGGGCAGGGATGTGGCCCAGGGAGTAGAACCTGCCCTGGGGCTCAGCCTGGAGCCCCCAGGGCCTTCCATTCTCTGCTCTCAGCCCCCGACCTCCTAGCAGCTTCTGGCTCAGCAGCTTCGGGATCTCGGTGGCAGTTGGACACCCAGGCTGCAGGCCCCCCGAGGGTCAGGCGCAGGGAAGCCTGGGGCTGAGGAAGGGCTTGGGGTGGGGGCAGGTAGTGGCCTCTTCCAGGATGGGAAGCACGAGGAATCACTTTGCTGTTTGTTTTGTTTCTTTTCTCTGCAGCCACCAAAATGGAAGAACTAACCCAGAAATACAAGATCTTCCATGACAGTCTGCAGAAAGGCATGGAGTAGGCTGTGAGCAGGAAGCTCCCGCCGAAGAGCCAGGGGGCGGGGGGCGCAGGGCCAGCCTGGGGCAGGAGAAGCAGCTTGGGAGGGAAGGAGGGAGGAGGCAGAGGTGAGTTGGAGAGAACGGAAGGCTCGGGTTCCAGGAAGCTGCCTCACGCCTGCCTCCTCCTGCCGCCTGGCCGGAGCTGAGGGGCCAGGGTGCCCCACTGCTCCATCGGCTCCTCTTCCCCGGCTGGCACCCTGGATCCCGGGCCGCACCTGGCTGTGGGCTTCCTGCCGTCCCAGGCGGCTCTAGCCGTGCCCCTCTTCCATCCCTTTCCCTGCCCAGTTAAACTGGGCGATGTCAAGCCCCAGAAGTCTGCACCTCGCCGTGGCACCTGACTGCCCCCTGCTGCATCCATTGTGACTGGCCTTTGGGGGTCCCATGTGAGGGCCACGGCCCAGCCACGGGCACCCACCCCATCCGGGATCCAGTGGTCAGGGCCCGTGTTTCCCCCCTCCTTCCTCCCCAGGGCTCCCTGCACCGGCCTGGGGCATTCTTGCCGGTAGCCTGACTGGTTGTCCAGGAAGCTGCTCTCTGGGCTTCCCAGGGTGACCCAGTATCTCCCTGAGCAGTGCACCTGTCACGGCCACCTCCCTCCCTGCAAGCACGGGAACAGGCATGACTGGTGGGGCCTCTGCCTCCCTCAGCCCAGCCACAGGCCAGAGGGGCCTCGAGGAGGGGCCTCCCTCCCAACACTTGGTCCACTGCAGAGGCCCGCCCTGGCTTTGGGCCTCACCTGTTTCTGTGCCTTCACCTCATCAAGCCCCCCGTGGGCGCTGCAGACAAGGAGACCGCTGGCGGAGGCCCAGGTTCACCGCTGGCCGGCTGCACCCACAGCTTCACCCGCCAAGGGACTGGTGCGGACCCGCAGCGGGCAGGCCGCAGCCAGCCTCTCAGTTGCCTGCCTGTGCCCCTGGCAGGAGGCTGGGCCTGTGGGCACCCACTGCTGAGGGCTGACATGTCTTGCTCTGGAACGAGGTCCTCGGGACAATGCCGCCCACTTTCTGGCCAGGGAGGGCCTTCTTGTCTGGGCTCTGAGGGGCTGGCCTTCACTCCCCCTCCCACGGGGCTGGGGGTGCAGCAGAGGCAGCCTCGTACACCCACCTTTCCTGTTGCTCATCCTTCGTCATTTGGTGGGGCAGGATTGGCTCAGCTGGAGCCCACGTGGCTTGCCAGGTGAGGCCTCGCCTCTTCCTCCTTCCTGGCAGCCTCTGCTAAAGGCCTCTTAGATATTATGGGTCATTGTGCCCGTGAAACAGATACCATCTTCCCTTCCTGCTGGTAGGCGAGCCTGTGAGAGCCTGTGGGAGCCAGGCAGTGTGGAAAGTGTCTGAGGTCACTGGGGTGACACCCGGGTCCCATCCCGAGGGGGCCGTTCCCTTTCTTGGCTAAGCACGGCACATGCCGGCACCTCTTGCCCTCTCCCGAGCTCTCTTTAGCCTCATGAGGGCCAGCCTGGTCCCTGTGACACGGGTGAAGCTCTGCTCTGGAGAAAGGGACTTGCCACCTTGCTGGGAGTTGCCCCAGCTCAGCTGCTAAGTCCTGGCCCCGGTCAGACTTGGAGGCCAGGCTGGGTGGATGGCTCGTGCTTCCTCCTTGAGCCTGTGATGACACGTTCCTCCAGCCCATGGCCCGGCTTGTGGGGAGGCTGCGTGTGGCCCAGGAGCCTGCTTTCCAATTTGTAAACACAGGGCGTGTGTCTAGCAGCCTGTGAGTGAGCGAGGGGGCGGTGAGCTGGCTGCACAGGTCCTGCGGCCTTAGGCCTCCTCGTTGCCCAACAGGCAGCTGGGGGCGGGCCACGGCCACTGATTAAAGGCCGCCTGGAGCAGCCTGTGTGGAGACAGGTGCCCAGCAGCCCAGGAAGCCGGCCAGCACCCGCCCCAGGTAAGCCAGCGCAGCAGGGTCGGTGAGGACAGCCGCCAGGAGCCCAGAGGCAGGTGGCCCAGTTGGGGAAGGCACCTGGTGTGCCAGGGAGGCCAGAGGAGGCCAAACCAAGGAGGCTTGGCTGCCTGTTTCCCGACCAATGACCCTAGGACTGCAGGCTCCCAGCCAAGGTGTCTCAGTGAAGATACCATCCCGGGCTGGCCCCTCCCTGGGTCCCTGGTGACACAGGCCTTGTGCACTTGGCCTCTCAGGTACCTGGAGGCAGGTGGCAGAGGCCTCCGGGCCGGGATCTGTGCAGACCGGCCCTACCTTTTGCTGTTTACTAGTTGGTAGTAGTGACAGTGGCCAGGGAGGGACTGGGGCACAGAATGGAGAGGGTGCCAAGGCCCTAGGAGGCCTCATCCTGGACAAAGGGGCTTGGAACATTGGCCCTGGAATCAGCTGTGTGTGGCTGGGCCCAGGCAGTCCCATCACTCTGGCCCTCAGGTTTTGTGCCTCTTGCCCTGGCAGCTTTAGGCTTTGCTGTCCCCGTGAGCACATTGCCATGTCCGAGGCGCCCCGGGCAGAGACTTTCGTCTTCCTGGATCTGGAAGCCACCGGGCTTCCCAATGTCAATCCTGAGGTGGCTGAGATATCCCTGTTTGCAGTGCACCGCTCCGCCCTGGAGAACCCGGACCGAGATGAGGCCGGTGCCCCTGTGCTGCCCCGGGTCCTGGACAAGCTCACGCTGTGCATGAGCCCGGAGCGCCCTTTCACGGCCAAGGCCAGCGAGATCACCGGCCTGAGCAGTGCCAGCCTGGCGCGGTGCCGGAAGGCCGGCTTCGACGCTGCTGTGGTGCGGACGCTGCAGGCCTTCCTGAGCCGCCAGGAGGGCCCCCTCTGTCTCGTGGCCCACAACGGCTTTGATTATGACTTCCCGCTGCTGTGCACGGAACTGCGGCGCCTGGGCGCCCGCCTGCCCGCGGACACCGTCTGCCTGGACACGCTGCCCGCGCTGCGGAGCCTGGACCGCGCCCACAGCCACGGCACCAGGGCCCAGGGCTGCAAGGGTTACAGCCTGGGCAGCCTCTTCCGCCGCTACTTCCAGGCGGAGCCCAGCGCAGCCCACTCGGCCGAGGGCGATGTCCACACGCTGCTCCTGGTCTTTCTGCACCGGGCTGCCGAGCTGCTTGGCTGGGCCGACGAGCAGGCCCGAAGCTGGGCCCACATCGAGCCCATGTATGTGCCACCTGATGGCCCGAGCCTCGAAGCCTGAGTGCCAGGGGCTCGGCGATTCCACCCCCCAGCGGGGATGAGGCCCACTCCCAGCGCCGTGGGCAGCACCGGCTCTGACCGTTCTGTCGGGCTCTGGGGCCCAGAGCTAGCCCCAGACCAGTGCCCCGCTGTCCCTCCCCGTCCTCTTACCCGCTAGCCCTGGGTGTGTGTAGGGCCTGCTCCTGGCCCTGGCCTGTGTAGCCCTGTGGCCCGAGAGCTTTCTCCTGGCCCCCCCCAGACTGTGCTCTAGTGGTTTGCCGCTGCAGGCTCCTGCCCTTCACCTGGTCTCAATAAACATCAACAACCACTCACCAGTGAGTTTCCTGTTGCCCCTCTACGCCCTGTGCAGAGGGGGCAGGCGGGGAGCCAGGCCAGAGCAGAGCTCCCCTCCCCCGCCAGCCGCCCCCTTGTGACCTATGCTTGGCGGGTGGGTGTGTGGGTGAGGATCCCTTGCTCAGAGGCTGGTCCAGGGGGCTGACGGGCAGAGCTGGGGGTCCCCCACCACGGGCCTTCTCCTCTTCTGGTCTGCTGTTGCCTTGCTCATCTCCCACTCCCTGCATCGTCACCCCCAAGGCTCAGGAAATTGGTGGTGGGGGGGACCCTGAATCTGAGCTGGGGATGGAACCGGAGGAGAGCCTCCAGGGAGCCCGGGGTGCTGTGCCCGTAGAGCCCCATGCCCGCCTAGGCGCAGAGCCCAGCTCCAGTTCTTGCTCCTTGTGGATCCTGGGCAGCTCTTTCCTCTCCCGAAGCCTCTGTCCCTGCCCTGCGCGGTGGCAACAGGATGAAAGATGGGCCTGTAGAGCAGCACAGTGCCTGCCCTGTTCCGGCTGTGGGAGAAATCGGGAGGCGCCCCCTTTTGCACACAGGCACATACGCGGAAAGGGCCTTACATGTGCAAGTTGGTCTCTAGGAGGGCCCCCCGGTGCGTGTGGGCTGAGGGGCGCCTGACGTGTGCAGGAAAGGAGGACCGGCCGGTACCGTGACGGCAGCACCTGGGAAGGAGTTTGTCCTGGGTCCTGTGTCCCTTATGGCTTGGCCAGGCTTCGGGGAGCAAGCTGACCTGCCTCTGGGGCCCCGCCTGTGTCACAAACAATGGGGCAAGGCAGGGGCGGGATGTCTGGGAGACAGGGAGAGCAGATGAGAAGGGCTGGGGTGGGTGGGGCAGCCACACCCAAGAGTGACTCCGCAGGAGCAAAGCCTTGAGCCAGCCAGGCCCACTGGGGCTACTCTAAGTAGGTCAGAGTGACTAGAGCGACAGCAATGTGTGGGGTAGAATGGTGAGATCAGAACACAGGCAGTGGCCACCTGGGGCCATGCCCATTTCCTCAGGGGGGTCTGGGCTGGCCCTGAGGGTAATGGGGAGCTACAGGAAGTTGTAGGCAGGAGAGGGGCAAAAATCTGATTTGTGTTTTTACAGTGCCTCTCGGGCTGCCTTCTGGGGAATGGACCATAGCAGGCCTCAGGGGGAGTATGGCTACTAAGGGGGAGAAGAGCAACGGGATTGGGGCTCGGTTGGAGGGGAGCCCCTGGTCTAGCCAAGGACAGGATGGCAGCAGTGGGCGAGGGTATACAGTACGGGAAGGACTTGTGGGGGCTAGTTAGGAAGTGTGGTCTGTGCGCTGTTGGGCTTCCCAGGGAAGGCTGGTTGGCTCCCTGCACAGGAGAACACCCACCTGGCAGAGGGCCACAGGCCAGGCAAGAGTGGGCCCTTGGCCCCAGAGCCTGCACCAGGCCGGAGCTGAGAGAGTAGGGGCACCACCAGGATTGAGGCAGCCAGGAACCCTCAGATCCCTGGTGCCCAAGCTGGGTTGGGTCTCCATTATCTAGCTGAGGTGCTGATGCCAAGAGGGTCCCTTTCTCACTCAACAGGCAAGTCAGGAGGGGCCTGATCCATGGCCACTGCCACTGGCCCAGAGTGGTCTCTGGGCCCACCTTGGGCTCTCCTGGCCTCGGGCACCCTCCCAGGCCAAACCTGGTGCCTTCTGTGCTGCACAGACAGGCTGGGCAGGTGACAGCAGCTCTCCAGGAAAGCAAATGTGTGGGTCTGTGTATGTGTGCGTGTATGTGAATATATCCCCACTAGTGAGTAGTTTCCAATTTTACTGATACGAAGGATGTAAATACACGAGTATGGTTCCCACGTAAGTGTTGGTTGCTATTTTCATTTGTGTTAATGAATAAGAGGAAGTGAAACAAAGATGTACGTGGGAACTTCCCATGTTCATTGGTGACACGAGGCACACCTTTGCTGAACTAGAGCATAGTTTTTGATACTGGAAGAGTATCACACACACCCCCTTTTCTGCTAGTCACAATGCAATGACTACAGACTCAAGTTTACACAATCAACCAAGCAATAAAGGATCAAGCCCTGGTTTGTAGCGTATGCCGAGTCCCATGGTGGTGTCAGTCCGTCCACCAGGCCAGTTTCCAGGCACCGGCACCGTGTCATGGAACGCGAGGCCGGGGAGAGACTCATCAGAGCGCGCCGTGCTGTTGGCTGTGACAGGGGGATGGCAGTAAGCTGGTGAAATAGGGTGTGATGAGTTCCGAGTAGCCCGTTTGTTTTTAATATAGGTGAACGTTCAGATAGTTTCATTTCTAATAATGGTGGTGTTTCACCATCAGCTCTCAGAATTCCTGGACATTTAACATCTACTAGAATGGCTATGAGATAAAAGTCTGCTGGTGGCAAGTGTCAGCCAGGACGCCGAAGAACCGGTAGAAATGTTGGAGGATACGACCACTGTAGAGGGCAGTCGGGCCGCGTCTTAAAATGGCCAGTGTGCACCTGCCACCATGACCCCGTGATTCCACTACTAGGTACTCACTTAGCCGACAGATGAGTTTGTGTGTCCACACACAGACTCACACATGACTGCTCGTGGCGGCTGTATTCCTACCAGTCCCGGGCTGGACCCAGCCCACGTGTCACCCAGCAGATGGGACAAAGCACAGCACACCCGTGAGCTTTGGAGGTAGGGGATGCTCACAGTAATTACGCTGTGTTTCTTCAGGGAGGCCACTGGGTGTTGGCGCTTCCTGCGAAGCCTGGCCTTGTGCAGCAGTCCTATAGGGCAGACAAGTGTCTGCGAGAGGGTTTCGCGCGTTGGCATTGTGGGGACCTTGCTTTCTACGCCTTAGCCCATGCACGTGCACCGCACTCACACGTCCCTCCCCATGCACACACCTCCACGCACACGCATACACCAGCTCATGGGACTGCAAACACACTCCTCACAGATGCCCCTCCCACACACTTAGCTGCACTTCATACACACACACACACACACACACACACACACACACACACGCTTGTGATTCTGCATAAATGGGGTCTCAGATGCTGCTCTAAAAAATCATTAGCGCCTCTGCGTTGTGTTACGGTCTGTAAAGTCAGTTTCCTCTAAGGGTTCAGGTGTATTGCCATGAGTCTTTCTGTTTCTTCGGCGTTTGCAGCAGTAGCTCCTTTCCCGTTTATACATTCCACTGGTCTTTATAAAGGAAAAAAACACAAGATTTTGATTTATCCTTTATCCTTTTTTTCTTTTTAAATTTTTGGTTTTCTGCTTCATTAACTTCAACTTTTAATTTTATTAATTCCATCTATCTATTTTCTTTGGGTTTAGTTTTTGTTCTTTTCCTCTAATTTCTGAAGAGGAAAACTACGTTCCTTTGTCATCTTCCATCTTGAATAACTGAGGCCAGAGACTAACGTTTCCCTGAGTGAGATCTCCCTCTTTGCTTTGCATTACGGGTGTTTCTAATTTCGCTTTCATGTCTTCACGGACATAAAGCTTGCAGAGTAGAGCTTATCTGAGTTGTCAAGACTTTGTGGTCATCTCTTACTGTGTATTTCTAATTGTATTGGGTAATGGTCTGAGGATGTGTTGCTTAAGGGTGTTTGGGGACAGTATGAGTTTCCTAGGGCCGCCATGACCAAGCCCCCCACACCGAGTGGCTCAAACGAGCGAAATCCCTTCCCTCACAGACCAGGGGGCCCGAAGTCTGAGATCCAGGTGTGGGCAGGCGTGGCTCCTCCTGCCGGCTCTGAGGGACCGTCGGCTCCGGGCCTCTCCTCTAGTTTCTGGTGGTCCTTGGCCATCGGTAGCGTTCCTGAGCTTGGGGAAGCCTCACGTCGAGCTCTGTCCCCCTCCTCACCTGGCCTTCCCCCGCGTGCCCGTCTCTGCATCCAAATGTCCCCCTTTTAGAGGGACCCGGTCCTGTTGGCTCAGGCCCCCACCGTAATGACCTCATTTAACTCGATCGCCTCTGGGTAGACCCTGTATCCAGATAAGGTTACACTCGCACGTGCTGGCGGTCAGGACTCCGACATGTCTTTTTGTTTGGGTGTGGGGGGGAGCTACTCAACCCACAAGAGAAGCCAAATGTATAAATAACTTTGAAAACTTGTTCCACAGACTGTGAAAAACTGCCTCTCCTTTCATGCACTTTCCTGTGTTTCTCCAGAACCTAGTTTGACAATTGTACTCTTTGGTTCCTTTACGTTCCGACTCGTTTTGTCTACTGCATCGATCCAATTCTGTGACATTATGTGAAACTGTCCCGTGTTAACTGCAGTCCATTGGCCTGTCTAGTAGCTGCGTGTTCATGCTTCCAGGCTTATAACTCTATCAGTCGGGATTCTCCTGAGCAACAGACCAGGAAATGGGCCCACACAGTTTTGGGGGCTACAGATTCAGGGAAGAGCCGCATTTATGGAGGCCGATCTGCTCACCTCGGAGTCTACTGATTTTGGTGTTAATCTCGCCTAAAAAAAGAAAAAAAATCCCTTCACAGTGACTCTGACAGTGGTGTTTTACCAAAAACCTATCCTAGCCAAGTTGACACACAGAATGAACCAGCACCATGCCTGTTCTCTGGGCTTTCTGCCCCACACGGAGGCAGCACTGCCCAGCTTGCAAGGTGATGGCTGCCGCTGCTCCCTGGGGCCTCTGCCCTGTGTGGTCCAGCAGCTTTTCTTCTACTACGTATAGTTCTGAGCTTCCTGTCCCCTGCTGGGTGAGTGACTGGCTGGGGGAGGGAGTCGCAGGGCTGCAGGCACGTCTCCAGCTTCTGGCTTCCAGAGCTGCCTGGATAGCCGGCTCACTCGGATCCCCTCCTGCTGTGGCTGATTTCTTTTGTTTGGAAGCTTCTAGGAGGTTCCACTTATCCTGGGAGTTCAGGAATGTTCACCAGGCATGGCCCAGCTCTGGGGCAATCTGGTTTGGAGCTGAGGGGCCT